CAACATCGTTATGGGGAGATGCAAGTTTGAGTCCAAATGGTTGGAAGTTAAGGAGGAAGGACAATCAATACTGTATATAGTAAATGTGAGGTAAAGTGTGTCATCAAGGTAACCGGTTAAAACTCAAAGTGGCGATGAGGTCTTAAAATGGTCTTAAAAAAGGTCTTAAAAGGAATTACATCTGACTTCAGGATTCCTGCATATATCCTGCTTTCCCTCCTCCTCTTGTAGTTTCTGATAGATTCTTTGATTTCCCCCCCGTCTTCAGCCAGTATTCATGTTCAGACTTGTGTGATCAGCCCAAGCTCTTTCAGTATGAACACTGTTTATTTAAATAAGGTTAAGGTACTGTTTCAGTGTGTATCCACAGGGCTGACAGTATCTTTCCTGCTCACATTTGATATGAAATTATATGAAGAATACAGTGCTTGGTTAGAGCAGAGTTACCTGATTCTGTAGTGAAATGGTGTGTTTAATCTTGACTAACCATCAGGTTTCTGAAACATTGACATCTATGATTGCAATTGAGCGTCTTATGAGAACTGACCTAATTGTGTCTATCTATTGTGAAATGGTCTAGTTTCGAAATGTGGCATCACATGCTTGGTCAGATTGGGTGTCTTGCCTTTATTTAGATTAGATTAGAATCTTTAATGACCACACAGCCAAGCTGGTGGAATTCGTGTTCAGTGCAGGTTATTACAGCTTGTTCCATACAATTCAACATACAATAAATATAGGTTATAAATATAGGTTAGATACTAATTATTTCTACAGCTGCTTTGTGTTAAGACACAATTGAAACTGATATTTGGGTTACCATCATACTGACATCTCTACCACACCAGGAACAACCAAACCGTGGGACATGTAGAAGCTGTTGTGTGCTTTATTTACTTTTCACCTGTTTCAGAGTTCCTGGAAAAACATGTTTGGCTTTGCTCAATAGCTGGCATTAATTGTGAGTTCCACGTACTACTTGGTGAGTTTGCCAACATTTCTGTTCGGTCAAACAAATGTGTTGCATTAAAACAAGGATAACTGCAGAAATAGGAGCACAGCACACTGCCAAACAATCAAACTATATCATGAAATAGAAAAGGTCTAACAATATGGCTTCCTTCACTCGTGTGCTTCTCATGCTCCTGTATCTAAAAACTAAACTAATAATCTGGCATCTTTCATTATAAAATATATATTCTATGCCAAAGAAGCAAAAACATGTGCATTGATGAAAAAGAAAATTGACTGATCAGGAGGCGTAAACATATTTTCTTTAGACTATAATATACCCCCTCTAAACGATTACAATTGAGTAGTCAGAGTCCTGCCATTGCCTTTGTTTGTTCACTGTTTAGGTGCTTTTAGTTTTTGGTAACAGGACTTAAGAACCTTATCAGCGGTGCTAACGGACTCCTCCGCATCATTAAACATTAAGCCGATGGCAAACTGCAACCCAAACTTGGCACCGGCTAACCAGGAGCTTTAAGGCTTATGCAGGGTTTTCCAATGCAGAGCGGTTTTTTTATACTAGTGAAATTCAACTAATCTCAATACTTATTTTATACCACAGTAAAGAACAAAACTATAAATCCTGTGTACTTTAACAAACACTTTTTTTGTAATGTTTGAAAAGTGTTTGTTTGAATGTTTAACGGATCAAAAGTATTTTAATCTGTGTTATTTTTTTCCCGCCTCAATAATACGCTTTGTTAGTGAACAGATAAAGCACCTTGATACACTGACTTGTTGACAAAGCAGCATTAGTAGAATACAGGTTTTACTGAATGCTCAACAAAACTGAAATGAAACCACAAACTCCTAATGACCTCAGTATTTCCTTTTCAAATGAACTAGACGTGTTTTTTAAAGGTTAAATCGTCAGGGCCAAAAAAGCCAGCTGTCAGAGTATCACTCCTGGTCGCAACCCAAGTTCTCCCTGATTTTCATCCCAAGAAAATGTTGTCTTTGTGGTCTCGACAAGTTTAAATATTGAACAAGAATAGGAGTCTTCTTCCATGCTGGTGTTTCTCTGTAGTTGTACCCTCAGGCACAATGTGGGTAAATGACTGATCAGCTATTTACATCAGCGAAGAGGCTCATGGTTTGCCCCATGGTCACCAACTTAGTCGAGTGTATCAGCAGTTTAACCTCATGCTGATTTGCACTATATTGCTGAGACTGTCCCTCTTCAATCAATCAAAAGACAATCAAAAATACTGGGTGGGTTTTGATTGTCTTTACCAAATTTTATAGCAAGGCAATTTTACTCTTGAGGGACAGTTGAGAGATGTCCGGAGTCATTTGGATGCGTCATAAATGTCTGCATCAGATTGTGTGCCCTTTGATCCAATGAGATATTTCAGTCTGGGCCAACCAACAGAACAACATAACCAACCTGAGCCAAAATGCTAAAATAGCCGAAGTGGGTGTGATCGTTAATTTTGAAAAGTTGAAAAACGTGTTGGATGCAATCCCTTCTTTGTTACGGGAATGGTTTAGAACCTTTAATGAAGCCTGTCATTATTAATCAACTGAAACTTTTTTTTTCCTCTCAGAGACATCTGAGGTGCAAAGATGAGTCGGCGGTGGCCAGAGTCCCAGGTCCCACCTGACGATGAGGTCATGCCGTACAGTGACGATGAGACGGATGACGAACTGGAAGTCAGCTCCGAAGAGGAACCAGATGCTCCTCCAGGAGTCCCTCCACCCCAAGAGGAACCTAAACCTAGCGGTGAGTCACTAAAGGCATACTTAGGATGACATTATGAATTACATTTGTTTGGGGAAATCAATTTTGTCAGCCATCTTTTTTAGAGGCCAATAATATGATTTATCTGTAATTTTTTTTTTTTGTAGATCCAGATTGCTTTAGCCTAGCTTAGCATACAAGTTGGAGGCAGGTGCATAGCTGTCACTCACATTTCTTTTTTTTAAAGCAAACTTGGAAACTGACTTTTTTATTTTGAACATTTATTAGAACAAGTTCCTTGACAGTGAGTCTCACACAACATGGTACATATACAATATCATACTGTTATATACAACCAAAACATTTAATCAAAAAGTACAATATATAATAGTAATTATCAAAGCACAAGAAATACAAAAAAATATATCGAGTCCAATTTGAGGTTTACAATATATTCACTTTGCCAAATACCTTAAAACAGGTGACCATTTCTCTAAATACACTTCCATTTTGAGTTGTAGTTTTGGTGTTACATTTTCCATACAATTTACAACCGTTAAGTCTTTGTGTCCATTGGTCCAAAGTAGGGGGGTGAGGTTTAAGCAAGCCCCCAGGAAGTGCGCTGAGGAAAATATTCGTTGTGGCCATCGTTAACGGCGGTACTACACTTCTGTATTGGTTGCTGGGCCCGGAAACACTTTTTCCCATTGACTTACATTGGAAAAGAGTGGTCTGTAAATCGTTGGATAATTTTTTTTAAACTACAGATTATGAATGTTTTTATAGCCCTTATTAAAAACATTCGGTCCTCAAGTTGTAAAATGTGCTAATAACGTTATTCTGAGAGTTATTTTCCTCTGCATTATGAACGCGCATCTGAGAGTGGGAGCTCGGGCGCGGGGCTTAAGGGGCAACTCAACTGCGCATGCTCTGAGCGCACATACGGGTACTTCTGCTCTGACAGCTAGGCATGCTGGGTAATCTGTGACGTTTCGCTCTGTATCAAAAGTAGGGCCATATTGTCCTCATGCGCCAATGAGCAGCTCTCATAGGAAAGAACAAGACCCTGCCTCCCACGCTTCCAGTTCTTATTATACATCCATGGGTTTAAGCCAGTTTATAGTAATAATTGTATGAGCTATTAATACCAGAGTTCTAAGCATATACATCTTGTCTTTTCCAATTCCCCTTGAAGGTACATTCCCTAAAATCAACCTTTGCAACTAACTTTTTTGATTTTTTTTTTCTTTTCCAGAGATGGGATGGAAGGTGAAAGCCAACGACCGACCTTATCACCACTTGCCGGAGTTTGAGAAAAAAGTCTTCTTGTGTATCAAGAAGAGCAGATACTCTGTAAGTGCCGTCAGTTTACATACTAGGGATGCCAGAAACTGACCATGATCAAATTCGAAAATCAGACAGCCCTGGCGAATATTAACCCCACCCTCCCGCGGGAGAAACAATTATTATTAGCATTAGTCTATATTTTGGTTGAAACTAAGCCAGGAAAAAAAAGAAAAACATAAATAATAATAAAAAAATATATAAATCAAATCAAATTAAAAAAATCATTTTCGATTATGGAGACTGTAACGAATATTCGAAAAATCTAATAATCGCTGGTATCCCTATTACATACCACATACCCATTTATCCTCTCCCTGTTGGTCCTGCTGGAAACTAATGCTGAGTGAATAGAGCCAACAATGGCTGCCACGCCCTCTACAAAGCGCAGGGCGAGTTGGTATTTGCATGCTTTTACATTAGCCATCTATCATGCTGACTGCTTTTCAAAATAGACATCAGTGATGTTTTGATTTTCTTTCTTCAAGGCTGGCATTGTTGTTTTTTTCCAGGATGTTTTTATCTGTTGCATGTAATGCCAGGTTGTATAAGTCTGAGGAAAGTGGAGAAGGGCACTGTGTTCATGAGTCATGCTGATACAAGTGTAGAGTGAGCGAGCAGATATGAAGTTTCTTTAACACAGTCTGATCCTGAACTATTGCATGTCGGAGTTCTAGACACTTTAATGTGCCATTTATAAAAAAACACACAAACTTGACTTCTAAATACATTATTACATGATGATACTGTAGCTTTGATTAGGGTAAGTAGTGTGTCGATCGCTGTCATTGAGTTCCTACATGCAGAGTTTCAAGATTTGCATTAAAAACAATCTAGCTGGGTACCTGTACATGTAATTTGTAACATGTAATTTGAATTATGGATCTCTTAGCGATTTGTTCACTATTTAACCCTTCGTTTGTTATATATCTTAAGGTCATAGGAGAAGTGAATGTGTCTTTAACTGAACAAACAAACTAGATGGATATCAGGATGTGTTAACTGACCCAACTTGAGGGATTTGAGCCAGATGTAATGCAATATTTAGTATAATTCCTGAAGACAATGACTGTACAACATTTGTCCCAGGTTAATGTTTGAACAAGGAAGCCTGCTGTGTTGATTTGATAGTTTCACTGAGTATGCTTCCTCCTCATGTCATGTATCTGTTTCTGCTGAGTCATTCCTGACTTCATCAGAGTTCCCTAAGCTGTTGAAAGGTCATGCTTGAAATATGTCAAGAGCTTAACATGCTTGGGCAGTTCTACTATTCTGTATGGTACTTGATGAAGGGTAAGATGAAGTGAAGCATGTGATTGAAAGACAGCTGGGCGATGTGCTTTTATCTACGAGAGCCAGGGCTTTCATATCCACAATTGACATGACTTTAATAACTATTTTGATCAGTTAATCGACTGTACACAGAACAAAACGAGTATACATGTGATGTTGCTCTCGCTGCTTGGTCAAATGCCAAGACCAGCTGCCGGAACTTGTTCTTTTTAGCAGCCAGTGAAAACAAAAAACGTGTTGTATCGTCGGCTTTTGTCGAAGCTGATACCCGATCGGCCAGCTCAGCAGACCTGTACCTCACTTATAGAGACATCAGACGCAGCAAAACGAGGTGGACGAGAGCGAGAACATATTTGTAATCAACAGTAGTCATCTCAACACCTAAGAGTCCTTGATCTTACACAAAGCTGGTCAAGAGAGATGTGTGTTTTTGACTCTGCATGTTTGACCTGCTGCAGAATCAGGCTGTAACTGGTCAGGTTTCATGAAATCTAATAACTGACATCCAAACAAACCAGGACACTGACTGCTGTGTTGTCATTGGTCTTTTAGACATACTTTCAAATGTGCCTGTTTTGTCTTTGTTTAGGCGAGGCACCTAGTTAGAAGGAAGGGAAATGTGAGCATTTAAAGATATATTTTTTTTTAAATATTTTTTTATTTTTTAATATTTTAATATTGTATGACCACATTTTGTCTTTGACCCTTTCCTTTTCCAACATGCTAATCCCCCCCGTGACAATCTCTGGTCCTTAAATAAGCTGTTTTTTTTGGTTTTGGTGTGGAAGAACCTGACTGTCTGATACAGAGCACTCCTTTTGGGATCAATTCGATCAACGACTAACCTTCAGACCTTACAGTTGAGCTTATTCTGTGAAATCAAACCTCCAGGAACACGGGACAATACATTGTTATGACATTGTTTTTAAACCTATCTTCGTGTGTACAATCGATAACACTTTTGGCAGTTCAACCGCGCATGACGAAGCCCTATCCCACTTTGCTCTCATTATTATTTTGTTGTTTTCTTCTCTGCAGGGAAACGCCATCAAGACGTACAAGTACAACGTCCTCACCTTCATCCCTCTGAATCTGTACGAGCAGTTCAAGAGAGTTGCCAACCTTTACTTCCTGGCGCTGCTCATCTTACAGGTACGTCTAAAAAAAGAGATGAAGCCTCGGTCTTCTGATGTTACACAAAACAAGGAACAATAAACACAATCAAATGTTTGTTTGTCTCTCTTTAGATTATTCCAGATATCACTACTCTGCCCTGGTACACCACACTGATTCCTCTGGTGGTGGTGCTGTCAATCACCGCCATCAAAGACCTGGTGGACGATCTGGTGAGGCTTCTCCTTTGGAAAGACAGATAGAAATGTCTTTTTCTGTCCAATAACTTTGAAAGAATACTGGTTTGCAGTCAATAACTTGAAAACATTTTATTTTATAGCTGTCAGCTTCGATGTGTAGCGGTTGTACACAAGTATGATCCTTTTTGGAGCCAATGCTAGAACTTTTGAGTCAGATATTCTTTTTAATGGTTATTGCAAACTAAGAGGATTACAAATTATCATATGTTTGTAAGAATATTCTAAAATCTGCTTTGCCCTGATCTCTTAATTTTGTATTCCCTCAGGCGCGCCACAGGATGGACAAGGAGATCAACAACAGGAAGTCTGAAGTCCTGCTGGACGGCCGGTCAGAACAAAGCTTTTTCATTTAACTCGACTTCATTCATAAAACAAGATGTCCACCATCTTTTAAAAACTGACACATTTTGAGTAATTCTAGTTTATTTCCATTGAGTCCTTACTGACAGTAAAATTAACAATATGAACAATAAAGCAAGAAATATTATTAACATCATATCGCTAGCCTCATAGCATAATTGCCTAAGTCATAGCTTACTTAAGAATTTATTTTTCTGAAAACCTTAAAATATGACTTGAGGCAATAATGACATGAGGCTAACGATATACAGCATTTTTTTTTTAAATATAACTACTTTAACAGCTGGTGCATATCAAAGAACATGTTGTCTTGTATCTGAGGTTTGTTTCTGTTTAATGTGTGCCAGTTAGTGGTTGCTGCCCATCTTTCTTGTCTTTTTTTATATCATAAAAAAGGACTACAACAAATATAAAAACTAAGATCTATTTCTGCTTCAGGTTTCAAGAGATAAAGTGGAGTAACATTCAGGTTGGAGATGTGGTTCGCATGAAGAAGAACGACTTTATTCCGGTAAGATGATTTAGTCTTTTTACCTGGACCGTTTGAGAGTGACTTGGCAATAAAAACATAAACAATACAACTTCAAAACAATGCCTGAAAGATCATTTGAATGAAGTTGTTGCCACAGTGGAATATTAATTTTGACTTGAAGCAGTGCAGAGTAACACAAGAGGCAGATTTCAGGTTTCTTGATTAATTCCCTTTATTCACGTTTACTTGTCTCTTCAGGCGGACATCTTGCTGTTATCCAGCTCCAACCCAAACAGTCTGTGCTATGTGGAAACTGCTGAGCTCGACGGGTAAGACTCCACCTACTAAATTGACAAAATATAATTCATGTTTTTAGATTAGATACACTTTCTTCATCCCAAATTGGGAAAGGTATTTTACGTAAGGAATAAAATACAGATTATACACATTATATAAAAAAACATTATACTTTGCCCATTAGATATTTAAATGTTATAAGGATATTTATTTCTACTGCATATTCAAATGGAGTCATATATTGTGTACATTGTGACTTCTGGAGCAGTGCTGTTTGCCTGACCTGAAGTTTTCTCAAGGGTTTAGTCAACAAATTACTCGGATAAAAGAAAAGCAAATATGTAAAAAGCTTCTGTCAAGAGCTAAACAACCTCTGACAAAATCCTGCGATTAAGTGAGAAGAAACGCCTTTTAGTCAAACACAAGCCCGCACGATGGAACCATGTTAAAGTAAATGTCTCACTTGTATCACTGTTTTGTATGGCATGTAACGTACATCACCATATAAATGATGATTTTAATCACTTTCATAAATAAGGTTTATTCAGTTTAAGGACTTGCCTGCAAACTAACATTACACGGTATATTTAGAGGACTACTTACCATAACATTAAAGGTGGGGTAGGTAATTCACTTCAGAAGCACTTTTGTTATATTCCATGGAATGCTCTTACATCCCGATAGCAATGAATACATTAAATGCTTTGACAAAAAATATATTTAAAAAAAAGTCATCTCTGGAAGCCGTGGCGCTGTAAAAAGCACAACCAATCATCTGAGCCAGCCCGGCTAAAGTAACTGGATGGCCTACCTGCCTGTCAGCCTTCCATCTGTGCACAAACTTATCTCGTGCCCTCATTGGTCATGTGCGCGTTCGTGTGTGTTGGAGGAGGGGCTCTGTAAGGAAGTCTGAAGGAAGGGGCAGATTGTTTTTCGGCTGCGTAGTTTCAAATTCTAGCGCACTCAAGCTGGTTTCTCCATTCTTACCTACCCTACCTTTTTAATTTAAATATTTAAACTAAAAATAAATACTATTATTTGGTTAGGTGCATAACTAATAATAAC